CAATCATCGCCCCGCCGCGGTGGTCTAGTGGCTAAGGTACTCGGCTGTTGACACGCAGGTCGCGGGTTCAAATCCCGTATGCGGCGGCTGCATTTCCGATGGAGGCGGAAATGTTGTAGGCCCGTGTGCTCAGATTTGGGTGCACGTTAAAGAACCCCAGGTGGTCGAAATTTCCGGAGCCCTTCACTACGGCGTCTCTCATAATCATATGGTGGTTTTGGGACGTTAAACCCCACAAATCAATAAAGCAATCATCTTATAATGGAAGCTAGCTGCGAGCTCATCGAGCGACGCCCTTCTTTTACATAGCAGAAAAACATCTCTTGTGTATGTAAAACATATATAGTTCATCGAAATATTTATAGTGCATCAAAATATAAATAATTACTTATTGTGTATGTAATCAATTTATAAAAACTTTGTCACGTCTATATATGATGGTAGGAAATGTCTACGAAGCGTTCGCGGGTTACCAAGCAAGCTCTTCTAATAGTATCCACTTAGAAAAATCCTCAAATAGCATTCACTTTGTGGATATGGCGGTGATTTTTTTTCACCTTCACCTGCATTCCTAGAAAGTGCTTTCTACTCCTCGACACCTATTTCTTCATTAGGCTCGCGCAATGTCCGAAATGAACGTTCAGCTAGTCAGAATTTCACTGTGCTTTTCGACCACACGCGGCTATCTCTACTTGCACAGTTGCAAATGCAGAAAATGAAGGTAAATCAGTTTATCAGCCACGATAGTCATGCGAGCAAAAGCAGAACTCCCGTGCGACTTAATGTAAAGCAAGGTAGGCAAAAATTGACAGCAGATATATCTCTTATATTCAGCAATCGAGAGCTTACAAGTCTTCACATCCCAACTTCACGTGAAGAAACTGCTGGTATCGCGAATTGCACTCCAAAGGCGGGAAACGTCGAGAGATAATAATGTGCTCACTCTTCAGATTTTCAGAGGTTGTTCAGTGACCCTTTAAATATAATCACCTAAAGAATTTCATTTAAGGATCAAAAATATTATCTTCTGACCGTATTTTGCGAAAACTTTAGATCCTTAAGGGTCAAATGCGTGCGAGTGCTTTTTAAGGGTGGGCCTTTTCAACTATAGAGTTTCCTACAAATACACTAGCTCTAGTGTCTGGCGCTAGTGTCCATCTGAGCTGCAACACACGGTGCTTCAGCCAGCATGGGAATAATGGGTAGCACATAGATTTGCCTAGTCTTCGCACTTTCGGCTTCATTAAGCTCCGATTGGCCTGACTCCACTTTGCCGCAAAACGAAGTTCAGCAAATGTTTAGCAGTTACGCTTAACCACCAAATGAAAACTATGCTAATATTTTGACCTAGCTAAATGATATGATACATTCAAAAATCACTGCGTATCCACAGAGTGACTGATGATGAATGGGGCGAAGCGTCCGTACATCTATCCATCCATCCATCCGTGTGTCCGTTCGTCCGTGCATGCGTCCATGCGTCCGATCTCGTTCAAGAATGCAGACAACGCGCGGGTAACACCGATGAGACGCGAGCCAAGGAGGCTAAGCGCAAGCGTCTTCAACGCGCCCACCGCTCTGCTCCGTCCATGCTCCACCTAAAATCCGCCACGTACGGCGACTATCCAGGAGAATGAGCGGGGCACTCGTTGGCAAAGCGTGCGCAGCAGTCAATCGGAGAGTAGCAGTACTTCAGACAGTAGCGGTAGAGTAACACCATCTAAGAAATGAGACGAGAAATGCTCATTCATTTTTGTTTTGATTTCTTTTCTTTCTCGTCTCTTCTCTCGGTTACGCGTGACAATTCACAAGGTTAGACAATAAGGAGCTGTGCCCCTAAAAATGCTCTCAAAGTGTCTTTCATGCATGAAAAATAATTAAAGCACACGGGGACGTGTACGTGCAACTCTTTCCTCGTGAGTTAGCAACTGATCGTTCATCATCGCTCTCACTCTGGGCACGTTAACAGATTTCTACGACCAGTGAAAAATCGTTGTCGTGAAGATGGTTTGTTTCAACATCACTGCTGAAAGCAATCTGAGGAATTCCCTCCACCGAACGACCTTGACAACTCAAACAACAACAACACGCCACCACGTTTATCTGGGACCAATTTCGTTCATAAACCCAACTACTGAATCGCTTGCAATGTGCTGCCATCTATCAACAAACGTATGAAAATCAGTGGCGCAGGGCTCACCAATTCTGTATTGCTCAGTTATCGAAGAGCAAATCGCGAGCTCGCGTGACTTTCCGCGTACAATTGTATGGGATTCATGCTCTACAAAAGCCCTGACGAGTGTTATATGCAAGTAAAACAAGGCGACTGTCAGCTAAAAAGGTCAGGTGATAACATTTAACTAACCTACTTGGCTACAGAAATCCTCATGAAGCTGATATCTGCACTCTGTGTGCTATCATGGAATGCGTGAGTTGCCACGTATCTTCACGAAAAATTTGTGTGTCGCAAGAACGATTCGGATTTATCGTGCCGCGGAGTGTCCAGTTTGCTCACAGGTGCAGGAAACGTGCGAAGTGGTAGTGTTCGTTTTTCAATAATGCGTTAACACTGATGATAGCACAGCCGAAAAAGGGAGCGCATGTCTGTTGATCATCCTAGAGAGCACGCTCTTTAATTCCGCTTGGCGGCACGACCCTTTATGGCCATTGCGAATAGACCAGATTATTTAATTTTTGACCCCCACTAAGAGCAGAGCACACACATATGATCTTGACAACAGCTATCACTTTTACGCGCAGCTGGCTAAGGGTCTGTGGGTGCAGTTGCGTGAAAGCAGATGACGAGCCCACAATAGTACCAAGCGTAGGATAATGGCAAGTCAGACGCTGTCTTGGTCCTTCTCTCTTCTTGATCGGCAGCCCCCGGCCAAAGATGGTTGCACCCTATGAGCGATGAAAACTCTGGTGTAATGAACAAAGACGTTTATTTCTTTAGAGGTTTCGTGTAATTTTCCCTTTATATCCTCACTCACGTACTTGTCAGTTTAAAAAGAACAAGCATTTAGTTGAAAGTACGTGCTGAAGCTTGTTACTCGTGCATTTATTCGTGGTACCTTCTCCCACCGCAAATATTTGTTCTTGTGCTATCTATATCAGCTAAGGTAAGAGTTACCCTTATTCATGCATTATTATGTGCCAGGTATGTATTCTTCATGTGGTACCACTTTCAGGTGTACTGTGTTACGGCTTCACTATCGCAAAGCTTGCCATGTGAAGGAACAAAGTAACCATCGTGACTTTGCCCATGCACTTTTTTTCAGTGTCATACTTTACACTAGAGCTTCTTTTTACTGTTTTCTTATGAGGAAAAAAAATCAAGTGACTGATAAGCAAACTTTAACCATAACTAATCGGCAAGCCTGTCAACAAATAAGGTGCCGCTTTTGGAATGCGCATTACTGAAAAGCAGGTGTGGCTTTTAATGGCATCGAAAACAACTTGAAACTTGGCAACTTGAAACGTTGCACCGTAAAAACTTCGCTGTCTCAGGCGTTTTTTCTTTTACTTTTTACCTGCACCAGCGGTGACAACAGTCTCTTCATGGCGTCCTCGTCACGTCACGTACGCTTCCTTCTTGGTAGACGAGCAGCAGCCTTTCCCATTGACCCTGAGATGCATTCCCTAAGCGTCGCTGATTCAACCGAGCAGTGTACCGTGACTCTGCATCTTTGCAAGCTTTACGATGCCTCAAAGAGACCTAAAGAGACTGTAAGGACTCCTGCGTGAATTTTCAGTGACACAACTAAATTATCTCAATGATATCCTCTTTCCATGGCTTCCTCGCCTACAACATACCGGCCAGAGCAGTTGGCCACTGCCATTCTGAGCCTATTCATTCCTGCTAGGTCAAAACCAATGGAGACTTTCTGAACAAATTGGCTTCCCTATACACGTGGTTAGTCTAGAAAAACAGCCTCAGTGATTCGTGGCTACTGCATACCGACGTAACGGCGCCTCGTTGCTGTGAGATCACACGACTCGTTGCAGGCGTTTCATGAAGCTTCACAATTATCCTGGCTGCCACATGACGTTCTCCACGTTAGCCTTCATGTCGGGGCTCTATTTCTGTATTATTACTAGTGATAATGAAGTACGCAAGCCCGACAGAAGCGCAGCTGTCGGCTTATCAGTCTGGCACAGACGACCACTTCTGAGCCTTAAAATTTCTGTAATGATCGTGAGACCGCCTTTATTGAGCTTTTCACTGCCTGGTTCCTAGAATGCCCCGAGAATGCTAAATAGGCACCTACGTAAGCTTCGCATTCATGGACACCTTTGTTCGCAGCAACTACCTACAATAAGTGCGCAGTAGAGACTCAGGCAGAAAACGAATCAGTTGTTACTGAGCACCAACGACTAAGTTGAGCCAAGTGAAGGGGCCGTGAACTCTTCAAAAGAATGTTTGTGTACAATCTAAAGCAATATTACTCAAAATATTAGTAACAGAGTGCAATGGGCTCGCGCCATGAACGGATTGATCGTTGAAGAAGCTAGCAACCGCAAAGGCATGTGTGCCGTGTGCAAACCAGTGAGTATGAAAAAGAATAAACCGCGCGGGAGATGCAGGTCCTATGCAGACACCTGTTACGTGCGTAGACCATTGATAAGGGAACTAACCATCCACCTCACTTTTGGGTCAGTCTTCCACCTGGGGTCACGGCAGCGTGTTGTCGGTTGTGTCGCCCTCGGAGAGCTTGACGATGTAACATCTATGCTGCAGTGCATTAGATATTACGGAGCTTTATTATCGCGCACCGCGAGCCTTGCGGTGTGGTCACTGCCACTGCACATGCGTCGCAACGCGAGTTGACAGTCGCGTTTCAGCCCGCCCACAGAAAATCTGAAGTAGCGGCCGCGTGTGTGGCCCGCAAGCGCTGGTTTCGAGGCTATGGTGTCGCTGCGATTGTGCGTTGCAGTTTGCAGGAGAGAAAACGCTATTTTAAAACTCATATGGCACCCGCTATGCCGGTGACGCCCACAGCACTTGCAAACTTTATTCTAAATCTCCCTATAAACACTGTCATACAGGCATGCGTGTATGATCGTGTGGTGCTACTTTTACGTTTCACTGCACCCTTCAGTTCCGGAGCTGGTGCCGACACGCCGTGACACGCACTGTAAATCTCCAGCGTAGTGTCGGCACGGCATTGCCACCGGTTGGGAACAGCGACAGAGAAGATATTATGCCTATAGAATGCAGTATTTCCGACTCTTGACAGAAATCAGCGCTGAATTCTTCCACGGGTAAGTAATATTTCTTTATTCTGCCGTACATGTCGCGTGCCCGAACACATCGCGCTTACCGGCAACGGGCTTGGTCATGTACTCCAACAGCACTCCAATATGGTTGCGGAAGGACCATAAACCCGTGAACTCGCATATGAAAGGATAGGACGTACGGACTTACGACCCGCGCCGCTTTCCCTAGATCGTCAAGTAAACGTATATCAGACCAAAGTACTTTCCCAAAAGATAAGAACAGCTAATTGTTCGCTATCTCATTTTTTGCCGCAGTGTGAAGAGTGGTGGTGTCAGCTGATCGACTATGTTGATTTCGAGGATGCCTTGCGTAACCCTGTGTGCGCTAGGAGTAGCGCATGAACTAGAATTGACGGATGGTCTAGACGGCACTCTGAAGTACTTATTGAGCCTGTCTGACAATTCACCGTGGTAATTGACAGCTAGCTAGTAACGTCATGGTATATCTGCGAAGCACTGCGCGTTTGGCATGACGTTAGTGTCAAAGCATGTACCAACCATTATCAGAACTTTGATGGTCAAGGTCCCAGAATCATTTCTTAGCAAAATGCCAGCGTGTCATTGTGGCGTTGAACTTCCCAACGCCAGATGTGCTTATGCCGAAAACGAGCGCCACGCACCTTAATCTATGCCTTGTTCTTCCTAGCATAGAACATCGCTATCAAAGTTGTCGGTCCCAATCCACACCTGTGTGAAATCAACCAAATTGATTCATGTTATCTGGTCACGTCACAGCGATTGTTTTTCATTGGGATCAAAACAGGTTCTGATCTGCCTCGACTTCGGTCAAAAAGGCCCCGTATGAATATCGCTTAGCATTTGTTATGACAACGTGACGCTGACTTTTTCTTCATCTTAAAACGCAATGTAAATTTCAAATTTCGTCATGAGCCATGCGATAAGAGTCAACATTTCTAGCGGCATCTTTTTTTGCAAGTATAACGAAACCTGCTACTATTTGTGAAAAAAGAGAGACATTAAAACAGGCCCATATATCTTTCATTACTGAGGCCGGGGCAAAATGGACGGAGGCCCCAGTTTTGAATTCGTAACCGACTAGATTTTCATACTTTTACTGAGCCTAAGGGTAGAATCAAGTTTTACCAAACCAAACTAATCATATGTGTATTTCTTTTGCCCCATAGCACGAGTTATTACTCTATGTACAAAAAAGTCGTGGAAGTTTGAATTGCCCATAAGCTGAAATCGCTTGTTTTTATGAGCAGCATACAACATCAAATGACACCATTTTCTTATTCAACACATCATATAAACTGTTTTTTTTTTCAAATTGTTTGCCGGAAATTCTGCTCTGCAGCTGAAAAGGAAGTGTTTATACCAGGTATGTTGAAACACATTTTTTTAGTATTTGGTTGCGTGGATGGAAGGAGGGTTGGATTTTTAATGCTAGCAAACTTTTATTCCATTGTATCCCAGGATCGACGTACATGTGGATATGATATTTCTGTGGAATGGGATAAGGCTGGCCAACGCATTGCCTTAAAAAGTAATTTGTAATATTGCCAATATTAAGCATTTCATAAAAGCTTTTGTGTGTTTGCCTGGTCACGTATAGCAAGAAATATTGTTGAATGATCAATTGATTGAGTCATTGACTGATATTTGTGGTTTAATGTCCCAAAAAGACAATATATGAGTATTAGGGACGCCGTAGTAGAGTGCTCCGAGAATTTAGACCACTTGGGGCTCTTTAACGTGCGCCCAAATTTGAACACTCGGGCCTACAGCACGTTTGCTGATTTATTCAAAATGCTGCCCTGCGGGTGGGCAGCCGATACCCTTAGCCACTCAACTGCCGTGGCGCGACAGCAAAAAAATATTTGACCAAGTACAAGAGAAGGGACGAAGGAAGCGCTGGCGCCCGTCATATATATATATATATATATATATATATATATATATATATATATATATGAGATATAACAGACAGTAATGCCAAGGAACGTACAGGGGAAGTTATTAAAACCAATGGAATGTAAATAAGAAGAAGAAAAGTGGATGAAAAAATTACCAACTGTGAGCAGGAATCGAACCTACGACCTTCGAATTACGCGTTAGAGCATTGAACGCATAATTCGAAGGTCGTAGGTTCGATTCCTGCTCACAGTTGGTAATTTTTTCATACACTTTTCTTTCTTCCTATTTACATTCCATTGGTTTTAATAACTTCCCCTGTACATTCCTTGGCATTACTGTCTGTTATATCTCATTAATATTGTGTTAAAACACGGAAAAACGAGCCCTTAGGTATTTTATTTTTTTTATTTATTTATACTGTCAACCCTCACTTGAGGGTCATTACAAGGAACACTTCTTTCCCTTATATATATATATATATATATATATATATATATATATATATATACAGTGGGAAAGTTCGGTGGGTCTGGTACGTATAAGAAAAGAAGGTGGTACACGTACGAGAAAGCAAGCAGTACCTTTATCGATTTACGTTTCGGCCGCGGCATGGCCTTCGTCATATATATATATTGCGCTGTATGATCAGTTATGCATTAACAACGCACCCAACTTCATTATCTTGTCATATATGTGTGTCATTGTCTGTGAACAAACAGTAGTAAGGGCGCACTGATCAATAGCTTTTTTTCAAGTTACCTGTCGAGCGGTATGCCTAATATACTTGTTTCATAAGTTTCCTCGGAATTCTTAAGATTCGTTTAATTATTCAGCTAAGTTTAAGACAAAAATGGTTCATCTTGTGTGAGTTGGGCTGCATTTTGAGTTACCAAAGATTTGCAAGTTGAGTTGTGAATGCCAGGCATACTCAGCTCACGTTAGAAGCTGATCGAACAGTGCATGGTACTAGTAGGACCTTCTTCGTTGCAGTGTGGCTTGGGAAAAAACATATTAAATGTAGCTGAATGTGCCTTCCAGGAGTTACATTTGCCGGTTATTTGCTTTATTCTAGACATGAAGTGAACACATACACGTCATAACTTTTTTAATTGACTAATTGAAATAAATTGGTTTATTTGGACAGCGCCGATAATTAGCACGTTGAATTACAGCAACAAGGAAAGGGCTGTTGAACAATGATATTGCTGGTGATGAAAGCATTCAGTTTGTACGTAAACATGAATACACGAGTAATGTAGATCAGTGATAAGATCATGAACATGTTTAAGTTGAGCTCTGGGTCAAGAAATGCTCTTTGAATGGTAAAAATGATGGTAATGATGAAAGCAATGAACATTAGTGTTTAAAGATTTCATGATGGGGGTGATGAACGATGATTACGAGAAGGATGACTCAGAGCTGTTACCAAGTGGCCACAGGGACATTTACAAAGATTGTGATAACAATAATAAAGATGTTTAGCAGGTGATGAATGGATTGATTATAATTAAGAAGCATAGAGGGACTATGTAAGTAGTGTTGACGATAATAATAATGTATATAAACAGCCGTCGGACAGGTTCCAGGTTTATTCCCATTTTTGTATGCATTGTTATTGAATTTACGCAAAAAAACATATTTATTAGCGCAAATAGATTGGCAGCGGGATACAAAGAGTTAACTTGTCACATTAAAATACATGTATATTAGTAGTCATAGTCACCTGTAATCTTATCAGCCTGTTTTCTGCACAAGTACAGCAACAAAGATAGCAAGTGGGCAGACGATGTGTTATTGGGCAAAGGAGAAGCACTGGAAGGTGACGCAAAAACGCTTCCAAAGCAGAATCACTGAAGTGGGACAATTCATGGGATATCCTGCAGCTTTGTTACTGTAATTTCGAACTGTCTCGTGGCAGCAATAAAGCAAGTATGTCAATGCATTCGCGGCTTCTACTTACACATCAGTGAACTTACACATAAATGTCACCAGCAGGTGGAACAAATTTTGCTACAAGACCCTCGTCAAACCTTTAACGACAAAAAGATTTAAAAACAAGATCGGAAAATCTAGGACTTCTTTTGCATTTTAGTGTTTCTTTTATGTGTACTATCAGCATGAAATGAAACCAAACAAAGGCATCTTTTGTAAACGGCAACGTATGTGAGTGTGTGGCTGTGGTGGTTAGGTATGTGAGTGTGTGGCTGTGGTGGTTAGGTCTGCAACCCACCACGTCTGCAAACCAACGTGTCCCCAGTGCCATCGAATTCTTCTACCGGCAGAACTTTCTCAAGTGGGGGGTGATGTGATGTAGTAGCTGGGAAAATGCGAGCATAGCAGATGATAGCGCCTCATCACCTGGAAGATGACAAAAATCAAAGGGCATTGAAGCGCGCACATTGAAAAAAGAAGAGAAGGCTCTCACGCAGAAAGAAGCTGTTCGGACGCCGACAAGACGACGTAAGGGAGCCTAGGGTGAACACGCAACTACGCGCGAGATTCGAAAGGCCGGGTTTCTGTCCTCGAGCCATTGACGTCCTCGGGGCACGGCGTGGCCAGGCACGAGTTCTGGGTGAGTGGTCCTGCGGACATCATCAGTACGGCGAGCGTTATAGGAACACCAGAACTACCGACCACGTCAAGCGAACCGACGCGTCGCTCATAGAATGCGGTTACGCCTTAGGCCTGGCGATGCCTTCTTCAGCGGGACGCTGACCAGTGCACCCAAGCAGCGACTGCATCTGAGCACTCAACGGGCACCACTTCAAGGCACCGGGCTACAGCACAGACTGTGAGACTGTTTACTCTTTTCTTATGTGTGTGAACCGCGTGCGTGCACGACGTCTAGTACTGTATTTGCAATGGTTTTTCTCGTCTTATATATCTTCATTTTGTTTTCCGCACTGCCTCCATCTTACTCGCCTCACACGCTCTGCAACGTGACGAACCTAACCAGCACAGTGGCCCATGCTTTGCTGCAATTGCCTGAAGTGCGAGCAGTTGGCTGAAAACGAAAAACTTCTAGCGAAGGCGTTGGCACTTGCCAGCTAAATATATAGCCGAACACGACGAGTAGGCCTGGTCATGCCAGACCTCACCCCTACCTA